CATACAGACAAAATTATATGTATATCAACTCTGTGAGCAATGTATCCCCCTGCTGTGAAATGATGATGTTGGCTAGGTTGCAAGTCCTTCCATCTCTGAGCTTCAGGGATTAAATGAAGATGTTGGGACCTTATATGCAAAGACATGGCAATGTTTTCTATCAACTAAAAAAGAGAATGTTTTCTAGGATTGATGCAGAGGAAAACTTAACTAAGTGGAAGAAGCCCGCATATTATAACTGACTATTTACATTTCTTTATTGAATTGATGAAAAAAACGTCATTCTGGGAAGAAAAAGCAGAAATAGGATGTGTTACAGAAGCAGAGTCCTTGAATCTGGGGAATGTTGGTAAAGTTCATCATATGCTATGAGGGCAGGGCTTCTATAGAATTAGTAAATGCCCATTTGAAAATGTTCTCAGTGAACAAAGAGATAAGGTCCCCCTTACCTCTCCCTTTTCTCTCTCACTTATTTCCTGATCTCAATCCTGTGTTCACCCCTCCTTTTGTGAGCAGTGGAGTTCTGCCAGTAGAAACATTGCTAACTGAAGGCCTTTAGAAAAGCTAAAGCCATTCTTCTGGCCTTCATTCCTTGCCAGAATCCTTCTACTCTTGTTTCCATAAGGCACTCTTGTCGCATCCTATTACTTCCACTACTTTTAGAATGATATCACCTCAGTGAGGTACCATCTTTTCTCTCCTTACTAAAGAAAACAGACCTAGTTTCTTTAACCTTTCAGCAGAAGCAAATTCCCCAAATCCCTCTGTCATTCTGGTTGCCTTCTGCTATGCCTTCTCTAGTTCCAAAATATCCTATTTATAGAAAGAAACCCAGAATGAGCTCAGGACTCATAATATGACCTAACCAATCCTCTTTACATGACTAGAATAATTTTCCCTGACTTCTCTTCCATTTTGCAATGTGCCCAATATATTCCAAACTGATTCTCTTTTTTTAAATTCCAATACATATGCAATGACAAATATTCAAACTATCACCAATGTTATTAATAATAAGAGAATGATGTCCACGATGCTCAGGACCTTTGTAGAAGTAACAGATTTAGAAGCATGTTAGGGTTTGTGGTTTGTGTACATTAGTGTTAAAGGAATGGTCTTTTTTTTAAATTAGTTTTTGTTATATGGCATTTACTTCAGTTACTAAAGAGATTAGCTAGTTTCCAATGAAGCCATAGTGGAAATGAAACCATAGGCTGGAGCAGCATGCTTTGGCACCTCTCTATACAAAGTGTGGTGGTGCAACCCCATGTCACCGGGGAATTTGTTGACAATGCCAAACCTTGGTTCTCACCACAGACTCAGAATCTGCTTTTTAACAAGTTGCCCAGAAGATTCACGTGCATACTAAATTATGAGAATCACAGTTTAGCACCTGTGAAAGTCTCCCTCCAGATGTTTTAGGTAGATTAGATCTCAATCATACCTTGTTAGGCCCCATCGTATAAACTAGGCCCCATCGTATAAACTCTCTATTACTTTTACTAGTTCTTGCTTGCCTTTTCATGATCATCCTAAGTTTTGTGGCTCCTTGGAGATTTGATTTTTCAGTTTACCTAATTCCTGAATATTATCTTACATTTAGTTAAGATACCTCACAAGACCTGACCTGACATGTTCTTGACCCGTCTTAATCTCCTCCCAACTTTTCATATTAACAACGTCACTTCTCTCTTACTTGCCACCCATACTTCCTCTTATTCATCTCTTGTCTGTAAGATGGTTTAGAAAAAGTCATTCAGTTCTTCCTCAATATTCCATGTGGTCTCGCTTCAGCCTAATTATGGGGTTGTCTGGTTTTCTGAAATTGAGTTAAGTCATGTCCAGATCTTCTGTCTCATGCTTACTCGTCAGGCTCAGGAATGCACAGAGGTTATTGCAAACTAAATCATGCCTTTCCCAACGCTTTCTCTTCCTTCTTCTTTTTGATGCTTTGATTGTTTCCTTTCTAACTAAACTAGGTTTGGTACGTGGAAGATTGAATTCTCTTTAAATATGAGCTCCACACCAGGTTCTTGGCAATCATTGCCTATTCTTGTTTTCAGAAAGCTTTCCAGATTGTGCATCGTGATTCTTTGCCTCTCTTTCTATTGCCTGTGGAGAACCATCAGAGATCAGGAAGTGACTAAGAGAGCCAATCTTTCTTCCTACCTGGTCAGAATCACTTCTTATGTCATAAACAGAAAATGCTTGCTCTACCTGCCTTTTTTTTTTTATTTGTTTGTTTGGGTTGTTTTTTGTTTTGTTTTGTTTTGTTTTTTTGAGGCTCCAAGACAGAAATTATGTCACTAGCTGAAGCAATCCTGATGCAATGACCAGCACAAGAAGAGCTGAAGGAAGAGGAGAAGGCACTGTTGATATCTTGGCAATAATTAACAAAGCACTCTGGGAATCTGAGACTCTGAGATGATTTAGGCTAGGGAATTATTAATATATGGATCACCAGCCCCTGTCAATGTGTGACATAAAATAAGAACTGAAGGGGAAGGAGAAGAAGTAGGAGGGAAGGAAGAAAATAATCTATCCAACACAAGGTGAGATGAAGAGCTTGGCAATTTACTACAACCAAATAGATTTGGGAAGAATAGTTGGGAGGAGAGAATGGAAGAACTGTCTCTCTCACTATATAGCAACTCTCTGCCCTCGTCTTGGTCCATGTGTTCTAGGTTTTAATAATGGCTCCAAGAAATATAGGCAATGAACAAAAATATTTCTCAAGAAATATTTTCAGTCCAATCATGTGTTGTCTAAATAATTTCAAACTAATCAATCATTCATGTTCTAAATCCTCAGGCACCTATGCCAACAATTCAGGGTATCCCACTATGAAATATGGCATTCATTTTCAGAATAAAGATCCATCAGAAAAGAAGCTGATAGTGTCTGTAGAGAACACAAACTGTTGACAAAGAAGTCAGATAAATATATCACATTGATGACAAGGCGGAATAAGTGTGTTCATATAGTGATCATCTCCCTGTGTCATTTCAAATCTGGACTAGAGTTACTGAACTTGTCAATTGGCAAGGGAAGTTATTAACAGCATTATGGTTTGCATTCTCAGAAAACCAGTTTTTCCCACAAACCTTGTACCCCAAGAACTCTGAGAATGGTATGTGCCAGCTGTCCCAGTCTTAGGGCAGCATCTGCTGGCTAATTCATGGATGGACAAAAAGTGGCAGTTTGTGGTCAATCTGAACAATCCTTTTAGTTGGAGGGAACCGTTTCATTGGTGACTATGAGGGTGTCTAGCATCCTTTTATTATGAACTATCTCAGGTCTCTAGGAGGCTAGCAGGTCTAGAACTGTCCCTAATGAGGTCCAGGAAGGTTTGTATATACGTATCTTGTCTGGAGACTAGGATAAGCCGGTTTGACTTTGGAAACATCTCTAGAGAAGTATGAACTCAACACTGTACTTACTGCTAATAATAACCCGGTTACCAATGGGGGCTCCAATGAACAGAGTCCCATTGACAGAATTAGGAAGCAAAGCTATTCCATCAGGAAGGCCTTTCTGGGATGGGAGGGGAAGGGGAGCAGGACCTTGTAGCAGCCCCTAAATGCTAATGTTCTGTTGCTTCTAATTATCCTATTCGTGTAAATGAGGTTTTTATACATAAGGAAGTATGAATGACATTCAAATACAGCACTTTTGATTGGAATAAAGTAACTGGAAATTGGAAAGGGCTGAGTGGTCTGAAATTTAAGAGCTATCCACCATCTTCTGCAGCATCTCTCTGCCTCATCTCTGCAGTCAATAGCGCCACGGCCAGGGCCTGTGACGCCGTTGGTGGGCTCCCCTTGGTGGGAACTCTGGGTGGAGAGTAAAGTCATGGTGTCGGTGCCAAAACGACGAAACCCGAAATGCTTCTGGGGACTTCCCAGCTCACTCGCGCTCCTCCGAGCGATGAGCATCTCCATAACAACTGGTTCGCATCCGTCCTCGGTTCCTCTGCTCGGCAGTGCCGGCGATGGCTGGGGGTGGGCCAAGGGCAGCTTCAGTGGAAAGATACCTTGGGTTAGCGCCTCCCTGGGCTGAGGGACGGTGCCAACGCTCGAGTGCTAGCTGATTTCCGGAGATTTCCGGAGTTCTCCCCAGGTCTCCCGCAGAGAACGGCGCCCCTCCCCCGCCCGCCTTTCCCTTTATTTTACACACGGGGGGTGGAGGAGGAGGACGGTTGTTCTATTGCGCTTTTCTCTTCTTCTCGAAGTTCATCCTCTCGCTGCCAAGTTACTTTCCGTCCACACGTGACCCCTCCGCTTCGCAGCCTGCGCAGCCGCTGGTGGGGAAGCGCGGTGCTCACCGCGGGGCTTCCTGGGAGCGCCCCCTCCGCACGCTCGAATCCCGGCTCCGACTCCCCGCCGCGCTCACCCCGGCACCCCGGCGGCCTGGGCGCCCCCGGGCGATGCGGAAGAGACCCCGGGAAAGGGGCACCGAGCCCGCCGCGGTGCCTCCGCTTCCTGCCTTTGCCCGCTGCTCCGCTCTCCGCGGCTCGCCATGCCGACCTCGCTGCGCACCGGGGCTATTAACTCACATTGGAGAAGCCATAACCCATTAGAGCAAAAGCAGTCATAACTTCATTCAACTCAGCCGCTCCAGAGCTCGGCTTACACAGGCTCCTGTGGGCAACTAGTGGCTCGCCCCGGTGCCTCTCGCCTAGTCATCGGTCCCTCAGAGGGAAAAGGAAAGTTGCCGGGCTGATGCACGCTTCGACGCCTGCAGCCGTTCCCAAGGACAAGTCACTAATTTCCCCCCGCCCCTCCGCCCGGTACCCCAACCCCCATTTGATCATCACGCACGACCTCATCGGCTGGAGACCCTTAGTCATGACGGGGTAGGGGGAGGGGCACGAACTTTTCCAAGAAGTTTGCTTTTTCCTAAGGGAGTCACAGTGGGTTGGTCACGTAAACAGCCTGGATAGTCGTCGTCGTTGCCACCCCCCACCCCCTACCCCCTCCCCGCCACGCTTTTCTGGTAATATTATTAAAGCGGTAGCCGGCTGGCGCTGATAAGCAACAAGTTCCCCAGCGGTCTTCCCGCCCTAGCCTGAAAAGGATAAGGTTTTCTTACCTGGCGACAGGGAAAACTCCCGAGTCGAGCTCAGCTTTGCCAGAGCCCCAGGTGTGACCTGAGCAGTGGGCAAGGGAGCGGTGTGCAGGCTGGGTTATTTTTACGGGGTTACCCTGAAATGCCTCACTTTCTCGGGGAACTTTCAGTGCCAGGACCCAGTGACGGGCAGCCCCAGGAACCACCGGCTATATAGCAGGGCAGTTGGGCGGTCATTGGTAACCTCGCTCATTCATTAGAATCACGTAAGAACTCAAAGGGAAACGCGTCTCTCGGAGTGAGTGGTGTTGCATAAATCTATAGGTTTTTCAACATCGGTGCCAGTTGCTTTGTCTTCTGTAGTCGCCAAGGTGGTTTAGAGTCTAAGCTTACGGATATTGCAAAGGGTTATTAGATTCATAAGTCACACCAAGTGGTGGGCGATCCACTGAGCAAAGCCGAACTTCTCACATGATGACTTCAAACAAGACACATTACCTTCCAGCATCTGTTGGGGAGACGAGATTTTAAGACACTTGAGTCTCCAGGACAGCAAAGGCACAATGGTGAGTAGCAATAAACCCTGCATTATAATTGAAAAATCTTGACATGTTGCTTAACAGCGGGCATATCACGGCTCAAAGCTAGCACTCCACACGCCAAAGAACAGCAGCTACTCAGGCCAGGGGAGTCGGGTTTTTACACAGTGCAACTTTAATTGAAATCATTTGAGATTGAACACAGCAATGTGGAACTGCGTGGAACAAACTTGGAGCTGGAGGGGGGAGCGTGTGTTATATTGGCTGTTCAAGGCTGATGCTTGTCTCCCAGCCGTCTTGCATTGCATTCTTTGCCTTTATGTGTGTGGTGTATGATCATATTCTATGATTTATATGTGGGCATGTAATTGACATTCGCGAGGGGATTAATTTCCTTCTAAAAACAATAATGCTGTTAGAGGTTGGGGTTATGGGATGGAACGGGGGTAAGGGTGGGGTAAAGACTGGGAGTTTAGGTGCGGGTGGGGGTGGGGGAGTGAGAAATAAGTCGTCAGAAGTACATATCACCGGTAATGAAATGGGTAATCCTCTCATAGAAGAAAAGGGTCTCATCAACATGTGATCCACTGTTAACAGGATGGCTTTGGCAAAGCCATCCACACGTGACAAAACGTAAGGAAGTGGAAGAAACCGTCTAGAGCAATATCAAGTATCACTTAATTAGAGATGTTTCAGCCTTTTCCTCCTGCCGCGCCGGGTGTGTAATCGGGGCTATCGGAGTCCATTCAGCACCTTGGACAGAGCCAACGGATTTGTCCGAGGTGGTGGGACCCCAGGTAGCCTTCTTGGCCCCGCTGTGAAACCAGCCCCGTGTCGCCCTTAAAAAGCGTCTTTTCTGAGGTTCGGCTCACAGTGAGATCGGGAGAGAGTCAGATTTTGGAGCGGAGCGTTGGGAAAGCGAGCCCCAGTTCGGTCCCCTCATTGAGCTTGCTGAAGTTGGCTTCCTAGCGGTGTAGGCTGGAATAGACTCTTGGCAAGCTCCGGGTTGGTATACTGGGTTAACTTTGGGAAATGCAAGTGTTTATCTCCAGGATCTAGCCACCAGGGTGGTGTAAACCGCAAAGAAGGTAAGCACCGGGGCGGGGACCCCCTGCCTCCCCAATTCTTGAGCTATTTTGATACTCGATCTTCTGAAGAGGACGCAAGGTGGAGGGGTGGAGGCAGAGGGAGAGCGTGCGAAGGGATTGTTTCTTGATATTTGCCCAGTTTGTATTGCCCTAGGAGAGAAACCAGGGGCAAAGCGAGAGGGGAAAAAAACTGCTCAGTCTTCCTGCGGATATAATGAGTTTAGTTAACTTGGACCTGCAAATGTCTGATTCAAATGTAAGATTTCTCTCTCTTTTTCTCCCCTTCCCCTCCCTCTTTTCCGTTTTCTTTGCTGATGTGTGTGTGTATACAGTAGATTCATTTTACTAATGATGAAGCTTTTGCACAACATTCGATTTCCTAAAAATTTGACTTCGTACCATTTAGAATCAGGCGGTGGAGGTGGTGTGCGGTGGGGAAAGGAGAGGTGGAGATTGGGGAGAGGGGAGGTGGTAACGCTAAATCTCCAACACAAAATGAATCAAGGTAATTCCAGCTCTTCTAGTGAGAAGGATTCATTCTCTCTACATCCCTCCCTCTCTCCCTCTTTCCTCCTCCCTCCCTCCTTCCCGCCCCCCTTCTTCCCCCCCCCCCCCCCCCCCCCCAGCCTCTGGTAACCACTTTTCTACTCTCTACTTCTATGAGAACCACTTTTTTTTTTCGCTCATAT